GCCCCCTTCGCACTCGGAAGAACCTGGCAGCCTTGGTCGCGGATTCCGTGGAGTCGCTAAGGAGGAAGTCGAGAAAGCAGAACGAGCGGGAAGCGCCACCCTGCGCTAACCCTCGGTTTGGAGACCTCCGGAAGCCGGCGGCGACTCCCGGGCGAGCCTGCCTGACTGGCCCCGGGGCCTGCGGTTGCCCGGAAGCAGACTGGGAGGAAGGACGCTCACGGCCTCTGTGGAAACTGACCCATAAAGTTCGCAGATAGCGAGCGACCAGATAGATAGCTTCGTGTGACTCACGCTCTGTGGACGTGGAGTTGTAGTCATGAGGTTTGGAGGAAAGGCTCGCACACTTGAGGCTCTGCCAGGCCGACAAGCAGCCCCGATTTAGGAGATCCTCCTTGGTGTCCCTGTCCCCAAACTTCATCACTTATTTGGAGCAGGAGAGACCCGGTCATCACCAGCATGGAATGCCAATAGAATCCACTGTCTGATTTTCAACGACCTTCTCACCACAAAGGATGTTTTTCCCCTGTTCTTTTAACCCCCTTTGGCTTTCCGTTGAATGAAATCTTTTTCCCAAATGTTAAACATTGACCCCTCCAAGGCCCAGCACAGGCTAACCGAACATTGTACCCGAGGGCCCAAACCCGCCCTCTTTTAAGATGAGGCGCCTCTTGAGTTTCAACCTCTGACCTTGAACTTTCCAGCTCAAAACGGTTAAGTCCCTGGAATTGCAGGTTTTGTTTTACAAACCTCCACCAGGCTCAGTTTACCCGAGATGCTGGACAGAAGGCATTTTGCACATTTCTTCTGCTCAGTAATAAGAAACAGCAGTTTCAGTGGGGCTTCCCCAAGTGTGGCTCATCTACCTAAAGGCTCAACCTCCGAAACTAAGACCTTAGCCTTAGGGACTAAGGTCAATACCACATTCAGTCTGCCCTGACTCTAAGGGTCCCGTGCTCTGGCTGATTCCTCTCAGTTGCCCACACCCTCTGCGCATCTCCCCGGTGGAGAAGTTATAAGCTTCTAACGCTAACAAGAGTTCTGAATATTGATGTTCATGTGCTGTCCTCCTGAGCACAATATCGTATATACTTTTCTTTTGTTAATGTGCCTACTGCACATCTATTTAATAGACTTGCTAGATAAAAATTACAACAGGTCGTCCGGCAGTGGTGTCGCACGCCTTCAGTCCCCACTCTCGGGAGGCAGAGGCAGGTGGATCTCTGTGAGTTCGAGAACAGCCTGGTCTACAAGAGCTAGCTCCAAAGCCACAGAGAAACCCTGTCTCAAAACCCTTCCCCCCACCAAAAAAAAAAATTACAACAGGGCATTTTCATAGACTGAGCTTTTTCACTAAGGAAACTGGGCTAAAATTCAAAATGGAATCACGGAGATCAAATGTCAAACAGAAACTGACCTGTTACCTGTAAATGCTGGCTAGTATTACATCAACTTAACACAAGCTAGAGTCATCAGAAAGAGGGAGCCTCAACTGAGAAAATGATTGGGCTGGAGGCAAACCTGTAAGTCATTAAAAACAAATTTTAATTTTATGACTATCGATTGGTGCTTTGCCCACATGTCTGTCTGTGTGAGGGTGTCAGATCCTCTGGAACTGACGTTACCAACAGTTGTAAGCTGCCATTTGGGTGATGGGAATTGAACATGGGTCCTCTGAGAGAGCAGGCAATGTTCTTAACCACTGAGTCACTGCAACAACCCCAGGCATTTTCTTATTAGTGATTGATGAGAGAGGGCCCAGCCCTTTGTGGATAGGGCCACCCCTAAGCGCTTGGTCCTGAGTTCCACAAAAAAAGGACTTTGAGCAATCCAGGAAGCAGCACTCCTCCACAGCCTCAGCATCAGCTCCTGCCTCCAGATTGCAGTCCTTATTTCCCTCTATGTTGAACACTGTTGTGGAAGTGTAAACCAAATAACTAACCCCCACCCCATGTTGCTTTGTCAGGGTGTTTCATCACAGCAATAGTAACCCTAACTAAAAACTGCTCTCTCTAGAAAAAAAAATTCTTCCCACTGGACAGTTTCAATTAACATGATAATAAAGTTACTTGACTTAATCCTTACATTTAGACAGTAACTCACTATTACCTATATGCTTTCTATTGCTGGGTCTCCCAGGCCCATTATGCTAGTAAAGTAGCATTGAAAGGCCCATGGCTTCTTTTTTTAATTCCTTCTTCAGCCTTTCCTGGATCATCCCATCAAACACTACCAATGGAAGCCTTGCCTGATTCTGAAAACAGTCAGAATTGATCCTTAACAAAGTTGTTAAAATTGGTCTTGGGGGCCCTGCAGTGGTAGCACATGCCTTTGATCCCAGCACTCGGGAGGCAGAGGCAGGCAGATCTCTGTGAGTTCAAGACCAGCCTGGTCTACAGAGCGAGTACCAGGACAGTCAGGGCTACACAAAGAAACCCTGTCTCGGAAAAAAAAAAAAAAAAAAAAGCAAAACAAACAAACAAAAAAAAAAAAAGATTGATCTTGGGGCCAAGCAGTTCCAGGACAGCTAGGGCTGTTACACAGAGAAACCCTGCTTAGGAAAAAAAAATAAAAAGATTGAGTTTGGGCATAACAGCACACACCTATGATCCCAGAATTCTGGAGAATTATGAAGAGTTCACAGTGACCTGAACTATGTGAATTAGTCTCTGTCTCAAAAAATAAATACATAAATACATAAAAGTAGCATTGTTGTACTTAAGAGACTGAGTGGTTAGGAGACTGAAGCAGGAGGATTACCACACAATCAACCTGGACTACAGAGTTGAAACCCTGTTTCAAAAATAAGTGTAGCCAGTCATGGCAGCCCACATCTTTAATCCCAGCACTCAGGAGGAAAAAGGTATGTCTCTGAGTTTAAGGCAGCTTGGTCTACATAAGGGTATTCCAAAGCTACATAGAGAGACCCTGTCTCCAAAAGAAGGCGCGGGGGGGGGGGGGGGAAGGGGGGACAACTAGCTGGGTGGTGGTGAGTGTTATCGTGGAACTAAGTTCTACCCAAGCCCCTCTCCCCTATCTCCCTCCAAACCCTGCTGCATCTCAGAAAGCCCACCAAATGATGACCCCCTCCTCCAGAGATGCTCAAGACCATTCCCACAGGGTATTTACTGCCCCCCAGAAAATAGACTCATCGTTTTCCGGTCCCTCTTTCTTGTCTCCTCTCTAGGGGACTGGAAAGCCATCTGGGAGCCTTTTCTAATTCGGTTTGATCTGGCCTAATTTGGATGGCTGCATATGGCAGAGAGGCTTATCGGGGTACAGAAACTTTTCAGTGAGTTCAAGGCCAGCCTGATGTACTGAGTGAGTCCCAGGACAGGGTCCAAAGCTACAGAAATCCGTGTCTGGAGAAGTGGGGAGAAAAAAAAAGTAAACTATTATAATGTGACTCACACCCATGACTGAGCATTTGGAAGGCTGAGGCAGGAGAATCAGGAATTCAAGGAAAATGTGTGATGCCTTGAAAAGAAACGAAAGATTGTTGTAATTTTGTTTTTTGACAAGTCAGTTCTAGAGCCCTCAGAGGGTAAAAGGAACTTTTTATACCGTGCTTATGCCCTCTTTTTAGACAACCTGAACGTCCCCTTGCTAGTTAGTGCTAGTTAGTGTGTTTTCCTCAGTACCTTGCTGACTGGGGAGGGGTGTGATTTAGTAGCCTAGGAAGATGTCCTGATGGAGAAGGAAATATTCAGATAGACCCTTGTGTCCTTTTCTTCAGCTGTCAGACTTGGATACCCCAGGAATTAAAATTTCCCCAGGTCCCCTGCTAGAGGGAAGGAAAGACAAGAATAATTTGTCTCCAGATGATATTATCTCACAGAGCAGCACATTCCAGCCAGTTCCTGGCTTCTAGTTCATCTCTTCTGTAACATAATACTGCCACAGAAAAAGGAAAGTATGAGTCTTTCCAGTTTGTTCAAGTTGCAAATAAATGCATCCAT